GACAATCATCTAAGTTTCTTATCCTTCCTATTATCTTAGCATCATCAGCAAACATGTTCATATAATTCTGAATACCAACTGGTAGATCATTTATGTAGACAATAAACATCATTGGTGCAAGAACTGAACCCTGTGGTACTCCACTTGTGACATTTCTCCAGTCCGATACATTGCCTTTGATCACTGCCCTCATTTTCCTATCAGTCAGAAAAATTTTCATCCATGTTAGAAGCTTACCTGTCATCCCTCCATTATTTTCCAATTTCCAGAACAACCTCTTATGTGGAACTCTGTCGAAAGCCTTATTTTAGGTCCAGATAGATGCAGACAACCCAACCATCTCTTTCTTGTAATATCTCTGTTGCTCGATCATAGACACTGAGTAAATTCGATACACAGGATCTTCCAGATCGAAAACCATACTGTCTGTCTGATATTATATAATTTCTCTCCAGGTATTCTACCCATTTAGTTTTATTTAGTTTTTGAAATATTTTGACTATTACACTTGTCAATGATACAGGTCTATAATTAAGGGGGTCTTCCCTGCTTCCACTTTTGCAGATTGGAACTATGTTAGCCTTTTTCACACATCAGCTACAACTCCTGTAAACAGGGATGCCTGAAAAATCAGTTGAAGTGGAATGCTGAGCTCAGGTGCACATTCTCTCATAACCCATGGTGAAACTCCATCTGGACCAACGGCTTTGTTCTTATTTAGCTCCTTGAGCCTCTTTTCCACTTTATCTCTAGACACCTCTATGTGCTCCTATGTTGTTCTCTGGAATTCTTATTGTGTCTGGTTCCCTGAAGATATCATTTTGTACAAACACACTTTGGAACTTTCCGTTTAATGTTTCACACATTTCCTTTTCATTTTCCGTGAATCTATTTCCCATTTTCAACCTCTGAATATTATCCTTTACCTGCAATTTGTTGTTTATGAATTTATAGAATAGACCTGGTTCTGTTTTACATTTGTCTGCAATCCCTTTTTCAAAATTTCTTTCTGCCTCTCTCCTCAATGCTGTGTAGTTGTTTATCGCATCTTTGTATCACTGGTATGTTTGGGGGTTTGGCCTCTTCCTGTATTGATTCCATTTTTGTGTCTTTTGGTCTCTGGCTCTCTCGCAATTTCTGTTGAACCAATCCTGTTTCCTAGTTCTGCATCTCTGTTTTGGTATAATTTTTTTTTGTGCCATTATCATATATTTCATAAAACTTGACATACATCTCATTCACTTCCTTGCCTAGCAATAAGTCTGTCCAATTATACTCACTAAAAAAAATTCTAAGGTTGCCATAATGTCCTCTCCTAAAGTCAGGTATTTCAATTGCAAAAAATTGCAAAAATTGTGTGTGTGGATCCTTGTGCCAGTTGACTCCTGAGGTGGGTGGTGGTTGGAAGGAACCTTCTCCCCCCCCCCCCCTTTTGTCTGTAACAATCCTGTGGTGGGTCTAAGTACACCCCCCTATTCTAATCAATGTGAGATAATCTGGTATTGTTAAATCAAAACCCTTTGTAAAATTGTACCCCAAGGTGTATTTCTTGTCCCATGTAGTTAGAACTGTTTATTATTGCTACAGACACCTGCACCCCCATTATTTATAAAAAAAGTAGGAGCGGGTGTTCCTAGCGATACTCTAGAGTACGGCTTTCAATCCCGTACCTTATACTGCCAACTCTGCAGGAAGGGCCAGTCCCCAATCTAGCACTACTGGTTCACGTTGATCGAAGGAACCCCGAGACCTGACGCGACCCTTCTGAGTAGGACCCCCCCCCCCACCACTCACTCCTGGAGAACCCACAAGTCTGACATGGACGGCAACTAGACGAAGCTGCCTTCAGAAAATGCACCACCGCAGACTCTTGCAAACAGCAACGGACAAAAAGGTGATGAAAATTTAAGAGCCAGAGCCCAAGATGATTCTAAAAAATGGACGAGCACCGCCGGTCAGCACGCGAGGCAAGAAGCGAAGAACAGAGACACCGCCTTCCTCAGAAACGGTGCATATACAACTTCAACAAGGCAGCCAACACCCGAGCGGCCGAAGCTAGCACACCAGACACTTCCCAGAACCCAGCTCCTCCACACCGACCCCGAGCCAGTTCGAAGACAGCTGTAGCAGGGAAAAGAAGCGCAAGACCGAAGCCAAATACCCACGGGCGTGCAAAACCTCGGCCACCAGATATGCTGAAAGGGAGGGAACTTGTACGTGAAGCCGCTCCTGGCCGACATCATGAGGAAGGACAGGGGCGAACAAGCACGCATTGAGGTGCTCCAACTCGGCCCCTGCAGGTAAATCTGAACGACCGTAGTCAACTCCCATCATTCAAGTGTGCAGTCTGACAGAACGAATGCCAAGCCCCCAACGAAAAGAAGAGGCAGTCTGCCAGCCAGGAAGAGTCAGGCACCCCGTAACACACCTAATAAGGAAAAAAGGAGCTAAACTCAAAAGAATCTTCATTATCGAGGCGTAATCCAGGTCTCGCAGGAGGTAAGCTGCAAGGGCCTCCCACACCTTCTTCAGTGGGATGCGCGAAGCCAAAAACCTCTGGAAGGAGGGAACCGAAGAACCCAAGGAAACTCAGAACCAAACCCAGGGAGGAGTCGCACTCATAACAAAATCATACAAGGAGAAGGATAAGGAAACCCCTCCCCCCCCCTGTAACAACAAGCCCCCACGCCGAGGGTACCAATACCCAAGCAGGGTCAAATAGGGCCCAAGCCCCCCCCCCCAAGTCCACTCCTCCCCAGCCCCAGAATCCTTCACGTCAGGACCCAGGACCGATCCGTCCTCCAAACCCTCTGCCTTTGGAGGAAAAGTAGAGTCCACCGGAAAAGCAGGGATGAAAGGGGTCCGCTGGCACTACCCAAAAGTTCCGGCAGGAGGAACAATCTCGAATGTTTCTGCCGCCAATCCGGAAGGAGCAATCCCACAAGCCCCTGAGTCTCACTTCTAGTAATCAAAGCGGGGCAGTTGTGGGGCATCCGGAAAGGCAACAAACCTCGCACATTGCTGCAACCTAAACCTTGCATGCAAGGCTAAAGCTGCCTGCATCCAAATATCAGTCTTAGTGGACTGGGTGAATGGAGTAGAAGCAAAGAACACCACTCACAGGACTCCGGGTCAAAGGCGTCACTGACCTAACAGGCAGCATGGCGGAGGAAGACGGTGATTGCCACCCTAAGACAAGGGAACAGAGCAACCTTCAAACTCACACAAGGCGAGGTGGAACTCAGAGGTCTCCTCCATCGGACCACTGAGCCCCAATGATGGTTTCCTGGACACTCAGGCTGACTGCTAAGGAAAGCCCTGGCGAGATACTGCTAATCAGTTATGCCAGACCTACCAAGCAAACAAACTAAAAGCTGAACCCCTGCAATGTGTGAAAGCACGGGGACCTAGTGGAGGGCCACCAAAATCCTACAAGTGGTCCTACCATCACATAAGGCAGTCCTCCATCAGACAAATCAAAACAAAAACAAAAGAAAAACTCCGCAAAAGCACATCTCCAGGTGAACAGAACCGGTCGCTATGCGTGTATCAGACATCTGCACAGTACCCCACACTCCAGCCAGCGATGAAACTACCTCCTACCCAAGGGCAAACAGGAGCAAGTACCACCCCAGCTGAACCCCAAGGGCGGACAATCACTGAGCAGTGACAGAATCACACAGAGGTAGCTGATCCTGAACGGCTCATGGAAGATAACCCTAAACCACAAAGGCAGTACATACGGGGCACCTAGGGAAGGTAGCCCTAGGTGCATGCAGCCCCAATACTCTTGTGTTACTCCTGGTTCGCACACCACCAACACAGAGCAACAACACTGCTAAGTAGCACTGCGCAAAGAGTGCAGCCAGAGAGATCGACCTTTCGCCAACACAACAGCTCGACCTTTCGCCAACACAACAGCCTGTGAACTGAAGAGAGTTGCCGGTGAGGAGTTCTGGGAATCCCCCCCTCCCCCCCTTCCCCTTCCCAGGGAAGGGGGGGGGTGCGCAAACAGATGGGCGGCGGTTGTGGTGACGTCATGTGTTTCCTTGTTTTTGATTGGGGGAGTTCTGTTTGCTAGTTCAGCTTTCGGTTTTCAATTTTTGACCAGCAGTAGTTTGTTTTGGAATTCCTACCTTTCTGGGTGCCTGACCTGGTAGATGGCAGACAAACACTGCTTCCAATTACACGCGGGGATGTCTTTAGGCCGTTGCTCCTCGTGCCTCTCTTGAGGGGACCAGGTTCTGGCTCTGATCCCCGGTAGGCGTAGAACACCTTTGATTGACCGTTGCCATAGTCTAATATATACACATCAGCCCGGTATAGCTCTCCACGGAAAGAGAGGGGGGCCCCGGTATAGCCCCTTCGGGAGCCGAAGAGGCTCCCCACGGAAAAACTTTTTTCTGCAAGCAGTGCGGTCAGCCTAATGTTTGAAGATAGCCTCCTGTACTATCAGAGGGTATTACCACCAGCTCAATATTATCCAGACACAAGCTTCGACACCCACACTAACCAGACTAGTCAACATACTGACATAACCATACAACACACCCAAAACACACAAACCAAACAAATGACCCAAACCTCATTCCAACCAATGGTGGACAGGCGACCAAACTTTACATCCTCCTCATTCCCAAACTTCATCCTCTTCCAGAATTTCAGAATCCTCATCCCTCCTTCCTTCCCCAACCTTCTCCAAGCCCTTTGGACTTGGAGAAGGATGGAGTCCAAGTCACCAATGTCACCCCTCCTAATACTGCCAAGTCCAAGCCACAGACTTGGACTTGTCCACTAGTATGTTTTGTGTCCCTCTTTATCTCCACTGTCATCTCAAAATTGCTTCTTTAAAATCCCAAATGCTTATATATTTTTACTCAAACATTGTCCCTACTCTTTCATTGTTTGTTTGTCAGGTTTACAGCCTTATCTATTTCTGATATAATAAGAAAAAGACACTAGTAGGTAACATATTGTAATACATGAAACATTGTATCTACCATCTAATATCCTGAGGAGCCGAGGGTTGAGGTGAGAATAAAAGACTTCCTTAGGAGAGTACCTGATGCACTTGTCGCCAGGCTCATCCACATCCTCAATAACAAGGTCGTCTGCCTCTTCCTCAGACTTGCCTACTGGTTTCTGTTAATGCACATGTTATCCTTAAGTATTTTTAAACTACATTTAGCGTGTTGAATACATTGACAGTTCATCAGGCAGATGCCTGTTAATATGCCATGAAATGCTGAAAGTATCAATAAAATATGTGCTGAAAATAACTCATTAAATATGTTAGCAAGCTGTAAAGTGATGCCACAGGGAAGGTTTGGTGGTAAAGTTAAAGAAACACACCAAAATAGAACTAGCTTGATGAATTTTTTTTAAATATTAAGAGTTAAACTAGTGCTAAACTTTTACTTTTAACAACATACAGCAATTTCAACTCTAAATTTGAATGTAGTTCATAGAATTTTTGTAAATTTTGTGCATTGGGTGATTAGCAAATTTATATTTAATTTTATATATATATATACAAGAAGGTACATTGGGTTTATGAGAGAACATAGTATTGATGTTTTTACATTCTTGTAAAGCCAATAACACACACAGCATATCGGGCAGTTCCTTAATCAAGCAGATAATTTTAAGTAGGTAATTTCTAGAAAATTTTTAAAATTTTTAACAGGTACATTGTAAGAAAATTTCACAAAGAATAGTAGGTACATTTAAGTAAAATTTGGGGGTTATCAACAGTTACATTGCAGCATAATTTGAGGATTATTTCAAGGTATAATCCAGTAAAATATGCATTCATTATAGCAATCATGATATAAGATGATAGCAATGATTACAGTGGTGAAGTTGTATGGCTTAGGGACATATACTGGGGGATTGGGTAGCACAAGATACAGTGCGAGTTTAAAGCCCTAGATAGGAAAATATGAAGAAGAAATTAGGTACTTGTTGGTTATATTTTCGAATAAGGCAAAAGTTGGGCAGCTTTTCAATTCATTAGGGAATGAGTTCCATAGACTAGATCCCTTTATTTGTATAGTGTTTACAGAGATTAGGTTTGACTCAAGGGATAGCAAAGCGATATTTATTTCTGGTGTAGTGATTATGGATTCTATTACATCTCTCCAGGAAGAGTTTTAGATCACAGTTTGCATTTAAGAACAGGTTTTTTTATGTAAATGGTACTAGAGAATGTGTGGAGTGAGTTTATGTTTAGCATGTTTAGGGATTTAAACAGGGGGGGGGGGAAGCTAAGTGTTATCTGAAAGCAGAGTTTGTTGTTGTTCTGATAGCAGATTTTTGCTGGGTGATGATGGGCTTGAGGTAGTTTGCAGTGGTTGAGCCCCATGCACAGATACCATATGTAAGATAGGAATAGATTAGCACATAGTATAGTGAGAGGAGAGCAAAGATTAGAACATAATATCTGATTCTAGAGAGTATACCAACCGTTTTTAGGTTTTCTTGGTTATGCGTTGTATGTGGGTGCTGGCTGCGTTGGCAATGATATAACCTCTCCCACTCTGCCATTAACAATAGGAGTGCCACAAGGCAGCATCCTAGGACCTTTCCCATTTCTTATATACATCAATGATCTGCTTATTGTCTCTAACATTCTTACACCTATATTATTTGTTGACGATACTACCCTCATCTACTCAGACCCCAACCCACACATATTAAATAATATTGCAAATAATTAATTAAAAAAGTCCACTTATTGATGTCAACCAACAAACTCACACTAAACATAGAAAAGACCTACTACATCTTATTTGGAAGCAAATCAACAAATGCAATTCAGCTTCAGATAGACAATACTAACATCAGGAATACAAATTATAGAAAGTTCCTTGGCCTATACTTAAACAAGAGACTCAACTTCATTCCTATACTTAAACAAGAGACTCAACATCACTCAGTATCCTTACTCAAATCTCTGAATATGTTAGATATTAAGTCACTGCACATCCTCTCATGTGCGTTTTATATATATAAAACGCTTAACTGTAATGTCAATCCTGACCTTAAAAGCTTCCTAGAAGGCTGTAACAGAACCCATGAGCACCACACCAGAAACAAATACCTATTTGATATTCCAAGAGTACGACTTAATCAAACTAGAAATGCTTTACAAATCAAGGGACCCAGAATGTGGAATGTCCTTCCCAATCATGTTAAAGACTGTACCTCTCCCAACCAGTTTAAGATAAAAGCTAAGTACTACCTAATTAACTCCATGTAACCTACTTTACCCCTAAATATCAAACCATGTCTACTATTTTAAACAATGCTGGGGAGCCGGTCGGCCGAGCGGACAGCACGCGGGACTTGTGATCCTGTGGTCCTGGGTTCGATCCCAGGCGCCGGCGAGAAACAATGGGCAGAGTTTCTTTCATCCTATACCTCTGTTACCTAGCAGTAAAATAGGTACCTGGGTGTTAGTCAGCTGTCACGGGCTGCTTCCTGGGGGTGGAGGCCTGGTCGAGGACCGGGCCGCGGGGACACTAAAAGCCCCGAAATCATCTCAAGATAACCTCAAGATAAGATGCTGTTTGTTGATCAAATTGTATATTTGCTATTTTTCTGCCATGTCCCCCCCCCTTTTATTATTTTTTTTATTATCTCAACACAATTTATACTTTAATCTCAATTAGTATTAGTTTTAGTTTTAGTGTTTTTCCTGCCCGAAACACTTTGCGTAATAGTGGCTTAAGGCACTGTATGTACTAGCTCTATCTATAAATCCACCAATGTCAGTATCTCACCTTGTATGTATGTACTTTACCTGAATAAATATTTGATTTGATAAGATTTTTTGAATGGTTGGTATACTCTCTAAAATCAGATATCATGTTTCAAACTCTGCTCTTCTCTCACTATACAATGCATTATGATGGCTCAGGAATGGTAAATCATGCCTCACAGGATTAATAAAATTCTATGACCAGGCAACAAAAATTAGGCAGGAAAGAGATGGGTGGGCCGACTGCATTTTTCTGGAATGCCATAAAGCCTTTGACACAGTACCCCATAAAAGGCTGTTAAAAAAGTTGGAGCAACAGGCAGGAGTAAAAGGGAAGGTGCTCCAGTGGATAAGGGAGTACTTAAGCAACAGGAAACAGCGAGTAACGGTGAGGGGGAGACATAAGAGTGGCGAGATGTCACCAGTGGAGTCCTACAGGGCTCAGTACTTGGACCGATCCTGTTTCTAAACAATATAAACGATCTTCCGGAGGGCATAGACTCGTTCCTCTCAATGTTTGCTGATGATGCAAAAATTTTGAGAATAATCAAGACGGATGAAGATAGACAGAGACTACAGGATGACCTGAACAAACTGGAGGAATGGTCTAGAAAATGGCTGCTAAAGTTCAACTCAGAAAAGTGTAAGGTAATGAAATTAGGCGAAGGGAGCAGAAGGCTGAACACAAGGTATCATCTGGGAGGTGAAATCCTGCAAGAGTCAAATAGAGAGAAAGATCTGGGGGTTGATATCACACCGAACCTGTCCCCAGAGGTCCACATCAAAAGAATATCATCAGCGGCATATGCTAGACTGGCCAACATAAGAACTGCCTTTAGAAACTTGTGTAAGAAATCGTTTAGGACCCTGTATACCACTTATGTAAGCCCAATCCTGGAGTATGCAGCTCCAGCCTGGAGTCCATACCTAGTTAATTTAAACACAAGACAAAGTTAGAGAAGATCCAGCGGTATGCCACCAGGCTCGTCCCGGAACTGAGAGGAATGAGCTACGAGGAAAGGCTGAAGGAGCTGAACCTCAAATCCCTGGAAAACAGAAGAGTAAAGGGAGACATGATTTCCAGCTACAAAATTCTCAGGGGAATTGACAGGGCTGGACAAAGACAAACTCTTCAGCACGGGAGGGACACGAACAAGGGGACACAGGTGGAAACTTAGTACCCAGAGGAGCCACAGAGACGTTAAAAAGAATTTTTTCAGTGTCAGAGTAGTTAATAAATGGAATGCACTAGGAAGTGATGTGGTGGAGGCTGATTCCATACACAGTTTCATATGTAGATATGATAGAGCCCAGTAGACTCAGGAATCTGTACACCAGTTGATTGACAGTTGAGAGGCGGTACCAAAGATCCAAAGCTCAACCCCCACAAGCACAATTAGATGAGTACAATTAGGTGAGTACTAATCTATCCTTATTTTACATATAGTATCTGTGCATGAGGTTCAACCACTGCCAGCTATCTCATGGCCATCATCACTCAGCAAAAATCTGCTATCAGAACAATAACAAACTCTGCTTTCAGACAACACTCAGTCCCCCCCTGTTTAAATCCCTAAACATGCTAAACATAAACACATTCCACACATTCTCTTGTGCCATTTACATTTACAAAATCCTGTTCTGAAACTTTTCCTGGACAGATGCAATAGAACCCATAATCACCAAACCATAAATAAATATCTTTGATTATCCCCAGAGTCAAACTTAATCTGTGTAAACACTCTGCAAATAAAGGTACCTAGTCTAGGTACTCCCTAACGAATTAAAAAGCTGTCCAGCTTTTGCTTTATTAAAAAAATAAAACCAAAAAGTACCTAATGTCATCTTCATAGTTTCCTACCTAGTGCTTGAAACTCGCACTGTATCTAATTCTACCCAATCCTCCCATATATGTACCTAAGCTATACAACTTTACCATTATAATCATTGTTATTATCTTTTATCATGGTTGTTATATTGAATGCATAGCTTGCTGCATTATGCCTTGAAATAATCCTCAAATTATGCTATAATGTGCCTATTGATAACCTTTAAATTTACTTTAATGTACCTACTAATCTTGTCAAATTTGTATACAATGTATTTTTTTATACTTTCTTACAATGTATTTTTTATACTTTCTTACAATGTATTTTTATACTTTCTTATTAATGTACCTGTAAACATTTGCTCAATTTTTGCTAGAATTTTTTTACTTAAAATTATCTGTTAGATTAAGGACATGTCCGAAACGCTATGCATTCTAGTGGTTTACCAAGAATGTAAAACATCAATGCAATGTATTTTCATAAACCCAATGTACCTTCTTGTATATAATTAAATAAATAAATAAATAAATAATTAAATAAATAAATATGTCCATAAATACTGTATTTGAACTCTAAATATTGCTGGGGAAAATGTTTCGTGTTAGTATGGATGTCTGTTTCACTAAATCTTCAAGCCGGAATAAATACTGCATATACGTAGTTACCATCGTCTCATCCTCCTCAGCAATAATTTCCTCTACGTCACCATCCAGCATCACCTCTGACACTGCTGCCTCTACTCTGGCATAAGCAACATGTACAAGAAGAGCGCAAAGGATAATCAGGCACTGTAGTCCCTGGAAACATAACAGGAATTCTTCAATGGGGAAAACCCTTGCAACACTTTAATTGGATGTTATATGTATCTATATAGAAAGAAATGCTTGTCTGTTTGTCTGTTCCTCTGTCCTGGGTTAGAGGACAGAAGCATGAGGCTAACCTAACCCAACTTTGAATGGTGACTCATAGAAAGGAGGGGATGGTGACTGGCATAGGGTGATCGGAGACAGTCCTATTGTTACCTCCCCCTTTAAGATAAGGTGAGCTGTAATGGCAACCACCATGCAGTCAGTGGAAATGAAATTTGTGTGAGAGAAACCATAGAATTCATCATCTGCCACACAACACACAGATAGTTATTAAGCTCCAATTATTGGTCTTTTCTTTCCAGGGAAATTCCTGTGTGGGGCCCAAAGCCTTTGGCTGACCCACTAAGTGTTGCTTGTTTCTGTTTTACTTAGGAAGAGTGTGAGTATTTATGACTCATATGGTCGCTTCAGTAAGATTTTGCCCCATGTGTTTAACAACTTCTTCTCTGTTGAATCTAAGTTGAAATCATATTGGGTTTGTAACTATGCATTGTGTTAGCAATTGTTCCAAATGGTCTGTCGGTTTATTGGTCTTATAATGTCCTATTTACAGTAATAACTCAATGATCATCAAAGAATTAAGAAGAGGTAATCAAACTTATAAAAGCATGACTCAAGACAATCATACATGATATTTATAATACGCCGCGCAACACTTATTTATAACAGAACTCAGTAACCGCTCTCTATGTATGCAGCAGTTATTCACCACCACTGACCATTGGTTTGGTTGACTGGGACACTTAATGCTTGGAGGTCCATGGTGTTATACTTCCAACAGTTAGAGTTAAGTATTATTAAAACCAAACCTTAACCAAACCTTAACCCAAATATTCACCTCTAACTTATGGGAGAGCTCTCACAGCGTAACTAACTCTGGGTAACTCACTAAAAACCAAATCTGGGAATATTAGTGATATACCATCCATGGTATACAAGAGTGTCTCCCATACCCCTGCACCACCCATAACTTTGCTGTTCAACAAATCTCTTGGGTGTCATGCCTTCCCTGATATCGTTAAAAAAAAGCACAAGTAACGCCAGTTCATAAAGGAGGCCATCCGGCAGACTTAAAAAATAATTATAGACCAATATCAAGCCTACCCATATTATCAAAAATATTTGAAAAAATTATTTACAAACAGCTCTACACCTACCTCGTAAAATACAACATACAGGTATTATCGCCCCTAATTCCAAGTATGACTAACAGTCCTGTGAGATGGGAATAATAGTTGAACCTATAGCTAGTTCTTGATCTAGACTGTGTAATATCTCATATAGAATAGGGTAGCAGCACATTGCTGTGTATACCTAATTTTGCTAATTAAAAAAAAAATACGTCAAACACACTCCCAAAATTAAAATAGTAGTTTTTCTTAAATTTAAAGTCACTGCTAGCTTATGCTCCACTATTTATTGTAAATAATATACAAAACATCTGAGTGAATATAAGCACATATATGGAAACATCTGAGTGAATATATGCAAATTTCGGAAATCAGTTTACCTTCATGATTGTTTAAGTGCATGTGATTGGTTGCATCCTTGGTCACCACGACTATTGCTAGACTGCTCTCCTGGCGACAGCAGCTTACTGCTTTCCGGTAACCACAGCTTACTCTTCTCCTGTTGACCACAGCATATTGTTCTCCCTACTCTCTGGGTGGTCACAGCTTACTGGCTCGTTACCTGCCACTTGTGTTATCTGTCAACGTGGGAAGTGCCCCAGGCAGCAGCCTGGGAAACGCTCCAGGTATTAACAATTGAAGCGATAAGATAATGGTAGTGGCCATGTTGTATAGTGGCAGACGAGAATACGTCACCCACACCTCCGAGCTCTCCACACTACTCGATGATGATGATGATGATGATGATGATGATGATGATGATCATCATCATCATCATCATCATCATCATCATCATCATCATCATCATCATCATCATTATCATCATATCGCCTCTGCTCTGGGTACTCTTAAGCAAATGCCTTAGACGACTAGGCCATGACATAGCAAAAAGATTGCAATCTGATATTCAACTGAATCCTCTAGGATTCCTGAGGCTTCCACTGAAGCCTCAATGAACTTATAAGTGAGCAAAGTGAAGCTTCCACTTTGCTTGGAAATACCCAGAGCATAGGTTCGAGTTCGCGACACGGCTCCTACTGATTATCTCTTTCATACATTGCATTAATGTGATTTCTCTGTACTTATTTAGTTGTGCTTGCAAGAGTTGAGCTTCAGCTCTCAACTGTCAATCAATTTCTGTACAGATTCCCGAGCCTATTGAGCTCTATCATTTGAAATTATGTTAAAGTCAAGTAGCATATATTTAGGGCATATGAGATAACCCCAGAAGCTCACGGCCAGTCATATCTATGCTTGAGAGTTGACCCCAACCAGCCCTTAACCAAGTTTGCTAATAAAAGATCTAACTTTGGCAGCAGGTACCAAAACTTGGAATGCACTCCAAAATTGATCTTAGTTGAAAACTTTATAAATATAATAATAAATAAATAAATAAATGTTTTTCAAGTAAAAATGCACACATTCAAAATGAGTTACAAACAGTAGTTGGATTTCTAGATCGAGCTAGTACATTCTATGCCTAAAGCCACTAATACGCAAAGCACTTAGGGCAAGATGTGCGAAAAACACTTAGACTAAAACCTAAAACTAATTGAGATCAAAGCATAAATTAAATTAAAAATAGGGAAAAAAGGAACACGGAAAATGCTCTGCATAGTAAAATTGGTGGTCTGGTACTTAATGGAGAGGAAGAATGTACAATCTAGCATTATTGATTTGACTAAGATGACTAAGGACTAACAGGCGAAAGGACTAATAATTATGTCAATGAACATTATTCCCTCAGCCAGTCCAGACCATCCTAGCAGTATCACCCAAATAATTATAATTATTAATTAATTAATTATTATTTACATCACATAACTAATTTATTATTATTATTATTATTATCATTTTCATAATATGTCACTGTTTCAGCTAAAGTTAATTCGGGTAAAACAGCCTGGATAACGACATCAAAAGGTGAACAGGTAAAAAATGAAGGAAGAAATGTAATACCACAGAGATATTGTAGCCATTGTAAAAATGACAACCAATGATGTTAAACACTGCTTGGTGTTTAACCCCGAGAAGAGATCAAACACTTCCACAGTATGTAAAGGGTTACAGTCTTCTAAAGTGGTGGATAATGGGACCTTAAGGCCCAAGTGGTTAAATCTCCTTACACCTTTTGTGTCAAAGAGTAACCTCCTAAGTAAGATAGTATTTATTTTATTGGCACTTCAACAAAACTGGCAATAAAACTTTAAAAACATGCCTCAAAACTTTTGTTCTCAACACTTTTTATTCTTTATGCTCAATTAGTATTAAGTTCTAGATATTAATGTTTTTCTTGCCCGAAACGCATTGCGTAATAGTGGCTTTAGGCATTGTATGTACTAGCTCTATCTATATATCAATCCATTAATGTATCATCACTTGTATGTATGTACCTTACCTGAATAAACATATTTATTTATATTTATTTTATTTATTTATGCCGTAGAGCAGCAACTTATCAGCATGATAAACATTTGAACAATACAATAGGTTTGAAAAACACAATTATACTCAGTAGACTATTCAGATTAGATGGCACAGTATGAAATTACTACGAACTTATTATAACAAGCATTTGCGGCATTTCTTTTCAGGGAATTACTTTATTATTGGCTTGAAGTCAATAGTCTTCATGATGTCATTTTCCATGCACACGAGTGAAAGCCAGTTCAAACGCTGCTGCCCCATTGTGCTACGAAGCAGATTTTTTTATAAGTTTCATTCTTGAAAAAGAACTTTCTCCTGTACAGTTGGTCACCATCACGCACATGAACACACTGAGTGAAATTTCAACATTAGGGAATACAAATTTCAACTTGTCCGAAATTATTTTTTTGTACAGTGCATGGAGAGTCTTAATTTTCCTCAAGAAGTGCTTAAATTGAGATCTCACGTTCATTTAAAAGGTCATGTCATCATAATTCAGGTCTTTATTGTGATACATATTAGCCACGTGTTCACACTTTTTCTTAAGTGCATCAGAAGCAATGGTTTTCAATTCACTGAAGAAAGAAAACAGATTTCAAATCTGTGAATAAGTCTCGTCACGTTTTGTCAGTTCAAAGATTAGTGTCCAGAATAGGGAGGAAAGTTTTCACCTCGAGTTTTTCAGTTTTAATGAGAAGTACCTCTTCTGCTGATCATTATATCTATTAAGACGCACACTTCGTTTTCGTTCCCGTTGTCTCCCATCACTGTAATCTGTATCTGGACACATACTCCTGGCTTTGAATTCATATTCACTAAATTAGTCTCTAGTTTCCTGAAGATAGATTTTCATAGACTCAAGAAGATTAGTGGCAACAAGGCCGCTCACATCCTTTGATTGTTTGACCTTGTTTGCTTTGTTCATTCTTTCTAGCATGTCATTTCAAAGAATTGGGAGAAAGATTGTTTCCAGTTTTCCATTTTTTTTATTTTTTTTCTTTGCTCAATCTTTCTGCCACTCGCCTTGTATTCACTTGCTGTTCATTGTCAGCTGATAGAGAACCCAATGTATGTTTTATTTTCTTGAAACCCCCATACAGAGCATGAACAGCATCAAAGTGTGCTGACCAATGTGTGTGAGACAGATGCTTGACCACAAAATTTTTTCCAAAAGATGATGTCAACACATTCCAGCAATGAGAAGAACCAGCAAAAAAATGAATACAGATGCTGAACAAAGTCAAAGAATTTGAGTCTGTAGACAACACTTTGCTGCTTTTACTCCCACCAAGTTCAAGCTGTGTCCAACACAGGGGACATAGATGGCAAACTCATTGAGGTGATGAATCCGTGTTTTCAATCCAATATATCGTCCAGCCATATTTGAGGCATTATCGTATGACTGATCCTGGCAGTTTGATAGTGGAATTTTGTTCTCATAAAGAAAATACACAACAGTGTCTGTTAGATCCTTTGCTCCATGAGCAAAGATGGGGATGAACATCAAGAAATGTTCCACAGGCTCAGTGTGTGAGATGTCTGGAGTTGAGTGTACACTTATTGAATAATACGTTGACTCTTTTATTTCTTCAAGAATAGTACAAAGAACCTGTTGTCCCCATTAATTCAATAAGTTCCTCAGAAATATTTGCAGAATATGTGACGGATTCCTTTTCCAGGATTTCCATACATTTTGAGATGTTCTTCCAAGAAAGGGCGAAATTCACTCAGCAGCTCTCGTATACCAAATTGTTGCCATTTTTTGCTGTCCCAATAATCTGATTTTCTCCACGAAATGGCAAACCTCTTGAGGCAAGAAAGCGAATTACAGAAACCACACGTGTCAACACTTTAGGCCAATATTCCTGTTCTGAGCGATGTTGCTCAAGAAATTTAATTTTAAATTAAATTAATTTTTTTATTCAGGAAAATCCATATATAGTTGATTTACAAACATAATGTTGGAGTTATAGATAGAGCTAGTACATACAATACCTAAAGTCACTAATATGCATAGCGTTTTGGGCAAGGTGTTGGGGGAAAAAACATTTAGACTAAAACTTAATAGTAATTGGGATTAGGTATAAATTGTGTTGAAAAAAGGAACAAAAATTAAAAAAAGGGGGGAACATGGCAGAAATCAGCAATTGCACAAGTTGGTGAACAAACAGCATTGTTTAAAAATAGCAAGACATGGGGTTGACATTCAGGGGGTAAGGTAGGTTACATGGAGTTAATTAGGTAGTACTTAGTTTTACTTTTAAACTGGTTGAGAGAGGTACAGCCTTGAACATGACTGGGGAGGTCATTCCACATTCTGGATCCCTTGATATGTAGAGCATTTTTAGTTTGGTTAAGTCGCACTCTTGGAATATCAAATAGGTATTTGTTTTTGGTGTGAAGCCCATGTGACATTGCAGTTCAGTGTTTTAAATATATAGAGTACACATGAGAGGATGTGCAGTGACTTAATATCTAACATATTCAAAGATTTGAGTAAGGGTACCAAGTGCTGTCTGAGGCCAGAGTTAGATATTGTTCTAATAGCAGCTTTGTGTTGAACAATTAGAGGACGTAAATGAATTTGTGTAGTAGAACCTCAAGCACAAATATCATAATTGAGATAAGGATAAAAGAGTAATAGAGCATCACCAGGGCAGGGCGAGGTTCTGTTCTTGTGGTTGTGTTCACCTTGCCACTGTCCAGCATTCTTCCAGGGTGAATGGTGGTCAACATGTTCACTTCACACCTGTCTTTAAACCGTACTGAAAGTATTCCACCTGTTTTTCTGAGCTCGCAATCACCAATCTGCATAGCACCTGGAAACACTGGCATTTCCCTTTGTTTTGCCTTTACTGTGCCACACACTCCAGTTCTATTATCAAGCAAGAACCTAGTCAGCAAGGGACTGGTATAATAGTTATCTGTGAATAATATGTGGCCTTTGTTCAGATATGGTGCAAGCAGTGCCTTCACATCACTACCCGAGAAGCCATGTTGGTCATTAGCAGGAATGTCTACATTTGTACCCGTATACATTATCAAGTGTAACACCATTCCTGTTTCACAGTCACAGAGCACAAAGAATTTCAATTCTAATCGGTGGCGTTTGGAGGGAATATACTGCTTGAAGGCAAGACGTCCTTTGAAAAGCACA